ATTCCAGTAGCTGTGAAGCGAGTAATTCTTTTTTCAGAATAAAGGCTTAGCCAGAAAATAGAACTCAATTGAGAACTCTGTGCATGTAAACACGGTCACTGTGGTGCTTTATTGTAATTGACTGTGGCTAGTCTTGATAATCCATATTTTCACACACTACTGGGCGGCGAAGCATCATTTAGCACTGCCAATTAGTCTTCATTAGATGCAGTACTGTATTACACATAAAGAAAATGTGATTTGCATTAATTAGATGGGAGATTATTTTCAAACATAGACCTTGCTACAGGTTCTTAGATATATAGGTGTCAGTAACCTCACAGTAGCAAATGTTCCTGGATAAACATCCTTGGTGGTCTAGAAACAACATTCCAGGTTTGATTTAGGGTTAGAGGTTTAGATCTGTGGTTTAGTGGCTGTGAATAATCAGTTAGACTGGGTTTAACGATTTTAAGTAATTGATTATTGGCTGGGAACCTTAAAGGAACACTCCACTGTTTTTGAAAATAGGCTCATTTTCCAGATAAATGATAAAATAGGCTAACTTCCGTCAACATAACCAACGTAGCCACCTGCTTGCACAGGCAGCTTGCTGGGGACTATTTTCAGGCGCTGCGTAATATCATTGCGCCTGCTGCACCCATGGTACGGCAGCAAAGTTCCTTGATTATTACGCCGGAATGAGAGTATAGTTCCTAGCCATATCGGCCTAGAAAATCGCAACTTTTCATTTTCCGTCGGTCTTAGTACACGATGTAACTACAGAAGAGTCAAGTTTTAAATATGAAAAATATCGAAACTCTTTGGTAATTTTTGAGCGAGATGCTAAAGGTCTAATCAGATTCAATGATTTATGCTAAGCTACAGCTAAAAGTGCTACCGCCAGACCCGGAGATCGGCTGAATGGATTCGAAAACGGTAAAACTCAACTGTTTAACTCTAGGGGAGTTGGAAAATGAGCCTATTTTCAAAAATAGTGGAGTGTTCCTTTAACATTCAGGACTGAATTTTTTTTATTCAAACGAGGTCAGGCTGTTTTTTCATATCTACCGACATCATTTGCATACCTTTCTTGGTTTAATGAATACTTTGGATTTGTTAGAAACATCTTTATTTCTTCACTCACTATTTTGCCGTAGTATGATATATTTAGCCACGTTCATGGCTCATTTAGGCCTAGACATAGTTATAACCCTCTTGACTGAGGTTCTTTTAGGCCTGGTGGGAACAAAGACCATTTGAAACCTGACATCTTTAGCAGCAGCGATTTATTATCGTGATCTGGCATGAAAAAACGTACAATGGACATATTTATTGATGACATGATGACAATTTCCATCTGGCATTTTGTAATTCGGTTACATTAACCAAACACTAAAGTTTCTGTGAATTTTAAACTCCGGCCTGATTTCATTTGTTAAAACTATAGTCAGATACAAATTGCAACCCGCCAAAATAAACTTTAATTTGACAAAATTGTTTAATTTGACGAAATTAAGGCAAAAATATATTACTATTTTATAATTATAGTCATTATAATAAAGTTTATTAAATTATTATTTAGGAACATCCCATTTTTTCATTCATGTTTTAATTTACATTTGCATTTAGTCATTTAGCAGACGGTTTTATCCAAAGCGACTTACAAATGAGGACAATAGAAGCAATCAAAACCAACAAAAGGGCAATAATATGTAAGTGCTGTGACATGTCTCGGTTAGCCTAACGCAGTACACGCAGCAAGGTTGTTTTTTTAAATATAATAAATAAAAAGAAAAACAAATAGATAGAATAGAAAAAGAATAGGGAACGCTAGGGTTAGAGGCTCTTTTTTTTTATAAAAATAAAACAAGTAAAAAGAATAGAGAATGCTAATGTTAGAGGCTCTTTTTTTTACAAAGAAAACAAGTAGTAAGAATAGAAATAGAATAGAGAGTGCTAGAGTTAGAGGGTCAAATGAAGATTAAATTTAAACAGTAAACCTCTATTGTGCAGCACTTTGACAAAAAAGAAAGTGATTTTTCAAATATCATTCGATTACATCTTAAAAGATGAATTAAATTGTTAAAGTTTCATGCTTTCATTTGATAACAATTTTTGACAATAAATTTGTATTAAATCATAAAAAACAATCCAGAAAAAAAGTAAACAGAAAACACAGAATTGCTGAATGAATGAATGATTGAATCGAACATATTTCATGGGGCCATATTGTTAAAATGTTATGAATTAAACTGATTAGACATCCTTTTTGAGTAATAAAGTTGAATGAATTAAAATGGAATCCAGAAAAATTTAAAGAAATAAAACATTCCATAAGACACTACCGTTAAAATTGTAATAAATTATTAAATTGCTAAGGTTTTATTAATTCAGTTTATTAGATCTTTTTTATTTAATTAAATTTAATTCATTAAATAATTTTGGGGGAAAAATACAGACTGAATTTGGGGAATGAATGAATGAAATGGATTTCATAGTGCAATAGTTTATTGTCATTTTTGAGACTGCATTGCTTAGACAGAACTGTTGTTCCAGGACCAACAGAAAATCCGTAAACACATTCAACTTGGCAAAATCCCGGCGACCACAGGTGTGAACCAGTGGGCACCAACATCTCACTCTCGTTCCTCTCCCTGTCTCTTCTTCTAATTGGTTGGTGGATCGCCTTGAGGGACGAGGAAAAAAACGAGACAGGCACAAGTAGCGATCGCTTTGCACTAATGACATGCATATGCCACCACCACCACCCGTGGACATGACTATCCAAATGACACACTACCAAACTCCTACACAGCCAGCAGACGGCCTCACCGACGCCTCTCCGCTTTGCTTTTTGGATTTCTGACCTAGTTTTTCAGAGCACCGACTGACTGATGTGCTGCCCCTTTGAAATCTTGGCCGTCTTCCGATGTTATCTGAAAACACACACCCACACCTGTAATTGAGCGGCCGCGTCAAACGCAGCTTTAATTAACCCGTCGGCAGATTTCAGAAACCGCAGCGTGGGTGAATCTGGGTGGTGTTACGCCGAGCAGATGTTGGTGCGTTTGATTCTAGGAATCATCAACTGCTCAAGCGAATTCGTCATTAGCATGCTGTGATGCCACAGATTTAGCACCCGTGACGTCTGATAGCAGTTCCTCTGAGAGCCGAGAGCTTATTTCATTCACCCTGAAGCTTCAGCAACACTTGCCAATCAAGTTTTAAATTATAACACATGCAGGCTAATTTTGAGGACGTTTAGAAGCTGACGGGAGTTTTTGAGTGTTAAGTAGACTTGATTCCCATCCCTCGGGAGATGGAGGTTACAAACGAAATATTTTGCAATGCTTTTTTTTTTTCTTTTCAAGATCAACTCTTTACCCAAACCCCTCTTTTCGAACTATGAGACTTGCTCTGATTACTTGTAGGCACTTAAAATCTAGTTGTGCCATTCTCTTAGAATTTTTTGCATTTATACCATTTTAAAGAAGGTTTAATTTACTCAGTGTTTTTATTTAAGTTTTTGTCATTTTAGTACTTAAACAAAAAAAATCAATTAGAAATGATGCCTAATGGAAATAAGTGTAAGTTGAAGCACTAAAATGACTAAAACTGAAATAAAAACAAATCAAACTTGTATAGAAATATTTTTAAAAAGGCACATCCAATTACTGAATAAAAAAGTACTTGAAAAAAAGATACAAAACCCTTAAACTCAATCCAGTAAGTTGCCAAACATATTTTTTTATTGTTTTTTTCCAAACAGTTCTATTTTTTTATTCATAGTAATTCTGTACTTTTCTCATTTTTATTAGTTTTTGTTTAAAATATTTCTATATAGCTGTGATTTGAGTTTATTTGGTTTAGTAATTTTAGTAGTAATATATATATATATATATATATATATATATTTCAGTTACTTGCCAATGTATCATTTTTAATTTCTTTAAGTTGAAGTTGTTTAATTTAATCTTTAGATTTTATCTCAACTTTTTTAGTTACCGTATAACAGTGTGTGTGTGTGTGTGTGTGTGTGTGTGTAATACTTTTGCACATCTTATTATTTTTCAGAATGGTTTTGAACTAACCTTCAACTTTGTTATAAAAAGGTAAAACTATGTGATATTTTACTTATTGAAATTTACACACAGTCATAAGGGTCTATAATATCATTCACTGATTCATTGATTAATTAATTAATTCATTCATTCATGTTCATTTGTTTGTTCCAAAAACATTGGTTTTTCACAGATCACAAACTAAATCTAAAATCAGCTCTCTCATTGTGCGGTGCGATTCAGGAATTGTAGAACACATATAAAATTTGTATGGCTCATTTGATACAAAACTGCTTCAGATTTGCTATCTGAGATATTTTCGACTGCTCGTTACACCACACCAACTAAAAAAAGCCATCAGATGGTCTCAGCAGAGCCTGTCCCCCTCCCCACAGGTGAACAAAACCTGCAATTTCCTTTATCAAAAAGAAAAAAAACTGCCGAACTCAGCATCACCTCTCAATCCACTTCTGGGCCGTCACCAAAAACGGCGGAGCATGCAGCGGGAGTGATTTCAGCAAGCACTTACACTCGTCCTCTCCTGCTTTGTACGATTGGCTAAATTGGTGATACTGGCTTTGGTGGCACTGTAACAGAAGCCCTCATTGTCATCCTTCAGCTGCTGAGCCATTGTTGGATCCGCGTGTCATGGTTGTCCTCACTTAGCTGAACACTTTGCACGTAACAGCAAATGGCGTGGCTATTACATATCATCTTATTTACCGCTGTGAGACATGCGGACTCCCGTCAAGGCAAACAAAAACCACCACATGTTTGAATCTAGGCTGGGGTCGTTTCCCAATCCCACCCAACCCTCTCCCATGTGTCCCAGTCTCTCACTGTTCAGGCAAAACACCCATTAATATGGACCTAGTGGGCGTTTCTGCAACATTTTAAAAGTATTATTTTGTTCCAGTGTTAAAATATTGACGGATGTTTTGTGTGTTGTCGTTCCAGAGTGGTGAGTGGAAGGAGAGAGTCCTGCCTTCCCCCCTCCCTGCCCATTCCATCATCCGTAGAGCATCTTTCATGCGTCTCCCTGGGCCCCAATCCCACGTCAGGATGAATTGTGAGCAGGATTTTGGAGATGGAGGCATGAACGTCACTCTAACTCTCCGGCTGCTCATGCACGGCAAGGTAAACCCACACACTTACACCACAAACATTGTGTTTTCAGTGCAAGACGACCCTGAGAGTAGCAGCCCGATGTTTAAATTTCAAAATGACTCTGTGCTCTGTATAGAAACCTCTTATGAAAATATAATCAGACTGAAGCACAGTGTTATTTTGTTAGCAATGTAGACTAGTTTACGTGTCACAACCCATTCATACAGAGATGTTTTAAAGGGGTCATATGATGCTGCTAAAAAGAACATTATTTTGTGTATTTGGTGTAATGAAATGTGTTTATGCGGTTTAAGGTAATCGCATCATATGACCCCTTTAATACAGTCTCTGAATTAACTTGATAGTATTAGGAAGTGTGATTTTGTTTGCGTTATTTTGATGTTTCAGATTAAAATAATTATTCGACTGCTTCCATCGTAATTTTCACTGAAGTTCCCATGTGGGATTTTACATATTTAAACAATGTTAAACAATGTTAAAAAATAAAATGTTTTTGTAAAAATTGTATGTGGGTCAAAGACATTTTTTTTTCAAGCATCAAAAAGTTTTAGAATAAGAATCATTAGATGACATTTAAAGACTGTTTAATTAATGATCATTTTAAATCTTTACTAATCTTTACCACTATCCTTCAAACCACTAGGTTTACCAATTTGTCAGCAAGAAATTTTTAATCATTTAAAATACAGTAAAATTTAGTATGATCACTTATGCTTAATGTAAGTATATATATATATATATATATATATTAATAAGTACAGCAGGTCAGAATAAGTATGTTGTTTCATTTTTACATAAATTTATCGTGTTACGCTGAATGATGATGGGACATTATTTCACCCATATTTTCACATTTTTTTTCACAGATGTTATTTGAAAAAATTATACACTTTACTTGCATTTAATATGCTTTCTATGCATATACAATTTCTTTTGTGAATTTAATTTGATGCAGACCCAAAATGGGATGTCTCTTCTTTGTCTCATGTACAGTATGTAAATATTGCTGTTTATTACAGAGTTTTGATATATTAAATATTAACTATCACTCTTGTGTTAATTTAGTAAAAAAAATAAATAAATAAAATGCATGAGAATCATGTCACGATTATTTCCAACTAGATTCTTCAGTGTATTTTATGTCTTCTAAATTTTTTGAATCTGCTTGAATTCTCTGAAGTTCTTAGTAAACAAATGGTTGTAGATTTCATTACCATGTCATTACAGTGTCAACATGTTCGTTTAACTGTCAGCCAGATGCCAGTGACAGATTTCCTCCCACATGCCTAGAACTCTTTGATATTTCTCATTTGCATATCACTAAAAAGGAATGAGTCATTAAAAACAGTCATGAAAAACCAATGAAAACATAATGAACCGTTAATAAAGTGCCACATTTATGATTTATGTGCCAATTTATCTTAATTCTCCATCAACAGATTGTGATTTGATCTTCCAATGAGGATAAGCTCAGAGATCATTCAAGACTTAAGTGATGCCTTTCGTTTTTGGCAGCTCAAAACACACATCCTTGCTGAAAACTTTTTTAGAAACTTTGGTACGTGATGTCACAGGGTAATAAGTGGTACATGACATCATCCTTCAGACTTTTTTCTGCACTCTAGTCAAAGTTATAATACTTCACAAATCAAAAGCCACCCAAACTGTTATCACGAGAAAATGAAGGTGAAGATTTTGTATATTCGTACAGTGTGATTTGTACGGAAATGTACAATTTTTAGAAAAACACACAAGCATGAAAGTCCACCTCCAAACCTAACTGTCAGTTAGTATGATCTAATTTGTACTTTCGTAAAATGTGTTTACACCAAATCGTACGAAAGTAAAGAATGATATTGTACAAATTCATTTAAATAAGCCACCAATTCACCAAAACTTACAATAGTTACGAATAGTTACGAATTGCCAATAGAGTGTGTGTTGAGCCACTTGATTCCGAGAAATGCATTGCGCTTTCGCAAATCTCGCTTTCGAAATAAAAATTTCGTGATTTTTAGGTTCATTTGTCAAGCATACTTTAAAGTCAACATGAAATCAATGCACATTTTTGGTCTTGCTCTAAACTGTTAATCAGTGCATGTTACTCTAAAGAAGAAAAAGTCTGGCTTTTTAATATCTAATCACAATGAAATGTGCTCCACCTTTAAATTGGTTTGCAACAATCACCATACACTCTTAAAAATAAAGGTTACAAAAGGGGTTTTTCACAAGAGCCACCATTGTTGGTTCCCCAATGAACAGTTCTTTTTTCTTAGTGTGAAGAACACTGAAGTACCTTTTTCCATGAATGGAATTGAAAGGTTTCATGGGTGTTAAAGGAGACATATTATGCCCCTTTTTACAATAGGTAATATAAGTCTCTGGTGTCCCCAGAATGTGTCTGTGAAGTTTCAGCTCAAAATACTCCACAGATCATTTATTATATCATTTTGAAAATGCCTATTTTAGATTTTCATGATATGTCACCTTTAAAGGTTCTTCATGGAACCACTGATGCCAATAAAGAATCTCTGTTTTTAAGAGTGTATAGTAACTTTTGCAATCCAATCAAATCCCGATGGATAAAACCAAATTTTGTGCTGAAATATTGTACTTTTTGGTCACATAAATCAAATGGGTTATGAAAACCATTTTGTGTTGACTTTAAACCCGAGATGGGACATTTAAAAGGTATCGAGTGCTTCTGGAGCCTGAAGGGTCCTGATCTAATATGGTCCCACGTGATCCCTGAGTGTACAAACACTCCAAACCCAGCCTACCTCATCAAAACCCACAGACGGATGAGTGGGGAGTGAGCTCGGTAATCAATAAGCTGACATTTGCTTTGTTTCTCTTTTCACAGGAGGTCGGCAGCATCATAGGCAAGGTGAGCGAATCTCTTTGTTCCTGTTGTCCCTGCTGTTGACTTATTAGATTTGGTGGATGCGTCTTGAGATTTTTGTCGCTACTGGGTTTGCTTTTTCCTCTGTATTAGATTGTTCTCACAATCTTTCACACAGACTTTTAGGTTACAATCCAAAAGCCCAGATTAGAAACCTACAGAATGGATCACTATAAGACTTGATGTTTCCTAGCAAATGGCTTGTTAAATGCGACGAGTCGTGCATCTTATGTATTAATGATCTGGATATATTACGATGCTCAATTCTACAGCTAGCTCTGTTTATCCCTAGAGCGAGTGCAATTGTCTAAACATGGCACAATCTCTTGGAGATGTCCGATGTAGATGTCACAATGATTAGTAAACAGTGTGTCAGCTACTGATGAGATGATTTTTGTGGGGTTTTTTTGTTTTCCTGGTTTGGCCAACTCAAGGTCCTGGAGCGACAAAACGTATACACGCACAAATACACACAGTTGTTGGCATTTCCTTGGTTCCAAATAAATCTCTTGTCACACAAAGCTCTCTTCAGAACTGGCATGCTAATAGGTCTCTGGGCCTTTGGCAGAGTTTGGGCTCAGGACAAGAGCCAGATGGAAGGATACAGACCACTCTGAGATCCACAGGGGTCTCCGTTGCTGCAAAGACGACTTCTCGAAAACACAGTTCACTCTTTTGTCTTGCACAAAAAGTAAATAAAGTTGCAATGTCCTAAAAGTGAATCTTTTTTATTAGATTAAAACATCCAAACGAGAAGTCAAGAACAAGCTTAGCTGCCACTTCCTGCTGAAAGGATCTCATCGACCAATAGAAAACAAAGACTAGCTGCAACAAGTAGTGCCGAAATACTCAACGCAAGTATGTGAATGCAAACGTTCCTTGCTACGCAAACTCAGTTTCATATTTTGTTCAGGTTAAATTTTCAAACAACAAATCAAGAACAAGTTTAGCTGCACTTCCTGTTGCAGGGATCTCATCGACCAGTAAAAACAAAGCATAGCTGCAACAAGCAGTGCTGAAAGATATTCAATGCAAGTATGTGAACACAAGCTTTCCTTGCTACACAAACTCGATCTCATATTGTGTTTTGTTTAAAATGTCCAAAAAAAAAAAAAAAATCAAGAATAAGCATAGCAGCTCTTCCTGATCTCATCGACCAATAAAAACAAACCGTAGCTGCAACAAATAGTGCCCGAAACATACTCAAATATGTGAAACGTTCCATGCTACACACATTTGATTTCATATTGTGTTCGTTTGGGAACACAGCAAAAGAAAAAAAAAAAAAGTTTGTGTAGCTTAATTTGTGTGTTTCATGCATTGCCACAAGGGGCACTATAGCTAGCGTATATATTTTATTCTACTAGTTTTTGATTACAGATCGACTACTATCAGGACAAAGCAACTGTTTGAAAAGAATTTGACTGAATAAGTTTGCTTCAGTTAATTAAAAATGTTTAGCCAGCTAACTGAATCATGTTGATAACTCTGTCGCCCCCTTGGATACTGAAGTTATGTACAGTATGCTTTCAGTTCGTTGGCCAGGCCTTCATGTCTGCAATTAAATACTTGTGTAGAGTAGGTTTCTGGCTGTACTTCCCAGTACTGGCAACGTTCCTAAATCAAAGTGTGCATTGCCGTATCAAAAAGAAAAAGTAAAAAAGCTTGCATTTGTTTGATGCATTAATTTATGCCTAGCCTTAGACTTTTCATCGGGCTAATGAAATATGAATAATGAATATTATGTTCTCTCATAGAGGATTAAAATCAAATGCCGCTGTCCCAAGGCTTTTTTAGATGACATTTATGGAATGATGATCATGTAATGCTCAAACACGTTCCAGTATAAGATCAGCTAAATTATGATTTTGACATCCTCTGTTGTCTTCCTTTTCCTTCTCTTGTTTTTTTCTCTGAAGCATAGTAAATAAATGAAGGCCTATGGTGTATAACTCCCCACCGTAAAATCAATAAACCAAGGCTTGGTTTCCCAGACATAGATTAAACACAGTCCTAGACTAAATCTGTGCCGTTACCGGTGGTTCTCCATCACAAATCTCCACTGGAGATATTCGAAGGGGAGGGCTGCCTAGAGTCGATTACTATTCGTAATATGTCTTCAGGAGAAAAGAATGAAGGTGAATTGTAAATTATAAGCAGTAAAAGAGCTCAGCCACAGTGGAGAATGTTTAATTTGACATGAATGAAAATGAGACCTTGAAAGTGACGGAAGTACAGATGTTCAGCGGGCCTCGTTCATAAAAACACAAGCAGAATGAATTCATAAAACATTTGTAAAATATTTTTGCAAAATTGTTGCAGTGAATCAAAATTATTATTTATGTATGTATTTTTACGAATGGTATGCACAGAAACAATCTAAGTTTTTTATTTGTTGTAGTCTTTTTTTTTTATTGTTTTGTAGTCAAAAATGTATACAATTCTGAATTTATTTGACCAAAAATTTTTTATAATAAAATAATAATAAAATTACAAAAAAGCTAGATATTAATGTAGTTGAAATGCTATTATCGGTTTTAATAATAGTTTGAATGAACTTTTTCAGTAATTAATTATAGTTAAGTAATTAATTATAGTAAATATTTCTAGTATTTTTTTTTACTACATCAAGTTAAACTAAATAGAAATGAAGAATGTTTCTATGGCAATGAGCTGAAATAAAATCCTTTTTTTGTTATTTTGTTACAGTTAACATTTATTTTATTTATGTATTTATTAAGTTAACTATAATAACCCAACATTATCATTGATGAATAACAAAAACCAAAACATTTTCGTCAGTAATTTTGTTATATATGCATGTTCAATGTTTCATTGGCCGAACGATCAACACACAAGTACGCAACTGTATGACATATTTTAACAATCTGTACTTCTGTTCTTCCGCAGCCTTGTTTTTGTTCAACTCTGAAAGGGACTGGTTAGGCTATATTTAGGTTATTTAATAAGCATCTGCAAACACTGCTACATGCATCATAGTTTGATGTTTTAAAGAACTTTGCTAGTTTTATGAGATGGGTGGTCTCGAAAACGTCTCATCTGAAATGTCAATTTCCCTGATAAATTAAAACCACCCAAGCCTTGCTTCAACTCTGTTATGACATATCCAATCGTCCTTTTAGCCCATCTAAAGACAATGTAACGCCAGTCAAGCGTGCTAAAGCAGGTCTGGGGATCTGCAGTCATGACTATGCCGCACACGTTACCTTCTGTGTCTGAGATAGCGAGACACTATCTGAGGCTATCTAAGTGATTCATGGACTATTGATTCCCTAGTCAGTCCAATTGCAAGACCTTCGATTTGAAAACTTGTTCCCCTGAGGCCTATCCATGCAGATGCCATATTGCTGTGTAGCGAAGCAGAATTGATATTAATTTGAGCTATCTGTTCAGCTAGTCAAACTCACTTTATCCTCCACTATAAGCCATTGTGAAAGACAGTCACTCTGGGAAAACAACATATCACACAAACAAACGTGAGACAAAGGCAATAAGTGCTTAATGATCTTCTTTTTTTCTCCCCCTACAGAAAGGAGAGACTGTGAAAAGGATACGAGAGGAGGTAAGCTACAAGCTACTCGTAAATGTTGTCTTTCTCAGCTTCCCAGCATGCATCATGCATGCTGAACAGACGGTATTCCTTTGAAGCTAGCGCAACGCTACACCACATGGATTTTTACACATAAATGTGGTTTAATGCTGGAAAAAAGACAGCAAAATGCCCTTACGTCCCACATACGTCCTCAAACCAGTTGATGTCCGCCACATTCAAGCTGAAAGACTGCAGAAGACATGAATATTTAAATTAAGCCTTTCATCTCAAGGGCGCATGGCGCACAAACACGGCGAACACTAATTCATTAGTTTGATATGAATGCATTGGTATTTTCAAGGTAGTTGCTAATAACAATAGCTTCCAGATAAAGATTGAAGTGGGTTACCAAGGAGAAAAACCCTTATATATATATATATATATTATAAGGTATATATATATATTTTTTTTTTCTCTCTCTCTTATTAGTCTCTTGTTCTCTAGTTCACCAGAACCTTTACCTAATGGTTTTTGCTTCCTAACATCATAAAATGTCAAAAAGATTGTGTTATTTCAACCTAATTAATGGTTTGGGGGGTGGCAAATGTGAACGCAAGTCTGCACATGAAGCATTCTCTATTGCACTAGTTGGGACACCACAGGGGTCAATCCTGGGCCTGATAGATGTCATAAACAGAAGCAATTGCCACTGGATGTTTTTCTCTGCTGTTCTGTGCTATTATTAGCAGAAGGAGCTTAAAGAAAGCTTACTGTGTCACACCAAATTCATATGTCTGTCTTGTGTTGAATGCAAAAGGAGATATTTTGAATGGTCACGTTGCTCTTTTCCATATGGCAAAAGCATATAGTTACCAGGGACTGTGAAGCACACAAAAAAACAAAGAAAAGTGCACATGTTTGGAATGACATGAGAGTGAGAAAAGATGAGAAAAATTTAATTGAATAAATACCTTGTCTGTTTGCTTTTAGCCACAAATATAAATGAATAAATAAATACATATTACTACTGTATTTTCCGGTAAATAAGTCATACCTGATTAAAAAGTACATTACAATAGGTCAAAATTTCCATTGTTTAGTGGAAAACACACACACACACACACACACACACACACACACGCACATATTGGTAAATCATAGTTTACCATCACAACACGATTTACAGTGTGGAAAATATGGTACTCTGTTAATTAACTGCATACATTTAGTAATGACATACATATCTATGCATTTTATAAATAATAATGACAATATATAAATAGTATATGTAAGTTATACTGTAGCTTCAATACACCGTTGACTAAACTCACTTATATTTGCATGCATTTGTGCATGATTGATAGAACGATCAGTTTAAATGAAGCTGACAGTCAGAGCCCTGCAGGAGAATGAATCACGCAGCTCAGTCCAGATCTCTGCTGGAGACATCCACACATTTGGACAGAACACACACACACAATACGTACACCTAACATAAGGCCTATGGGGGCGGAACTAGTTTCCCTGAGGAGGTCAGCTAAATTCGTGTTTCACAGACGTACGTTATGATTTTAATCCCATCCGAATCGAACACGCCTGTGTTTTTCTCACACAACCCTGGTTAAAAAATACAGAACAAATTGCCTACTATTTTCTTGAGCGTCCTCTGAGAAATCTAATCCTGTCTGGATAGGAATGTCTTGTAGTATATTATTTTTTCACAATGTTGAATACCGTAACTAAAACTACATGTTTTTGTTGCGGTGCCTTGTGCACCTTCATTATGGATTAAGGTGTTTTTGCCAACTTGCAGTATAAAAAAATAAAAAAACTGTTGGTGGTTCAAGTACTGCTGGCATCCTACCTGATGTAGAAAGAAAATACATTTTTTATTAATTTATGTGCCTAAAAATGCGCGCACACACACACACCTGCATATTTCATTTCTGAGGTTAAAATACAATAAAAGCAAGGCCACAACTTTGCCTATGCATTTGAGTGAAAACTACTACTAGTGTAAATGCATGATATTTAGTTTATTTACTCTATTTTTTCTTCCTCATTATCAACCTCCCATCCATTTACTGTTCTTACTGTTTCATCCATACAGAGCAGTGCACGTATCAATATCTCAGAAGGCTCGTGCCCAGAGAGAATCATCACCATCACGGGCGCCACAGAGTGTGTGCTTAGAGCCTTCACTATGATCACAATCAAACTGGAGGAGGTAAGTACAGGAAAATCGTTCTTGCACACAGGGCAATAAGCATAAAATATAACATAAACCTGCATGTTATTGTGCCAACATTAGAGAAAGTGTCCCATAAAAAAAATTGTCAAACTGACCTTAATTGTTAAGACATGTTTCTAGTCTCATCGTGCTTTTTTCTTTTTTTTTTTTCCAATAATGGAAAATTGATCCAAAAAAAGTGCTGATACCAATGAATAATTACTTAATGCTATGTTAAATCTACTTAAATCTGTCACATCGTCAATAGTCTGTGGAAATAACTGACGTCTGTTGAAAATGAATGATTTCCGGTCAGTTTGCAGTGATAAAGCTGTCAGGATGAACGCTTCTTAAAGAAACAGTTCACCAAAAAAATGAAAATTTGCTGAAAATGTACTCACTCTCAGGCCAGCCAAGATGTAAATGAGTTTATTTCTTCATCAGATTTGAAGAAATGTAGCATCACATCACTTGCTCAGCAGTGATGTGATCCTCTGCAGTGAATTGGATCCTCTGCAGTGAATGGGTGCCGTCAGAATGAGAGTCCAGACAGCTGATAAAAACAACACAATAATCCACAAGTAATCCACACCATTCCAGTCCATCAATTAACATCTTATGAAGTGACAAATCCATCATTAAGACGTTTTTAAGTTCAACCCATCGCTTTCGGCAAAAATAAAAGTCCTCTCTCCATACTATTGCTTTCTCCAGTGAAAAAGCGTCTCGACTGAAACAGGAGAGAAATATGCACAGATCAGGCAACATTTACAAGTGAAAACAGTTCAGAACAGTTCTGTACAAATATGTTGGTGGATTGTGATGTGAGAGGACTATTTTGGCCGTGAACTGATGGTTTAAACAAATCCATCGAGACGTTTTATTACGAACATGCAGTTTTTGTAATAAAGAACTGAGGTCGTGTGGATTATTGTGATGTTTTTATCAGCTGTTTGGACTCTCATTCTGACGGCACCCATTCACTGCAGAGCATCCATTGCTGAGCAAGTGATGTAATGCTACATTTCTTCAAATCTGTTCTTATGAACAAACAAACTCATCTACAGCTTGGATGGCCTGAGGGTGAGAAATTATTCAGCAAATTTTCACTTTTGGATAAACTATTCTTTCAATTTCAGCAATTTTCATGAAGCAAAATTGACATGTACTTATTTAAAACAAGTTCATAGTCTTATTGTGCTTTTTTTTTAACAACAGAGAAAAAAAGGACAAAAATTAGCTGATGCCAATGAATACTTAATGCTATTTAAAACCTCATCAACAGTCTGCAAATAACTTCTGCTGAAATTGAATGGTTTCCAGATGATTTGCAGCGATAAAGCTGTCAGGATGAATGCATAAACGCCCATTTCAGCAATTCTGAGACATGGTTTGTAAGAACAGCTGGCTGAAAGAGTCGTGGGTAGTTTTCATATATTGTCAGTCCCATAGCAGTGGGGTGCCTATCTGCAGGATAACTTCAGAAATATAATTTGAGCCCCAACACATTACATTCCCTTGGGTGATGCCAGTGAACAACTGCTGAAAAGAGACATACAGCTCTCTGAAAAAAAAAAAATGTGCTAGACTTTTGATACTGATGTGTGTCATGTATTTTATTTCATGTCATGAATTAACTCAACCAATGGCATGAGCCTATAGAGTCGGGATCTGTATTTCCAAGCAATAGCACTATTTAGTTAAAGGGGTCATATGATGCTGCTAAAAAGAACATTATTTTGTGTATTTGGTGTAATGAAATGTGTTTATGCGGTTTAAAGTTAAAAAAACACATTATTTTCCACATACTGTACATTATTGTTTCTCCTCTATGCCCCGCCTTTTTGAAACGCGTCGATTTTTACAAAACAGGTAGATATGTGGGGGCGTGTTCGAACGAGCCGTTTTAGGTAGGTGTGGCTAACTCTTAACTTTTATAAAGAATATCTCTTTGGATTTGAGACTTTAGTCTTTGCAACTTTACAGATCTTCTTTATGCACCAAGAGCTTGAAACACTCTAAAGAGAAAGGAAAAAATGAAATCGCATCATATGACCCCTTTAAGTAAATTGGGTGGAAATTCTAAAAAAAAAAAAAAAAAGTTAGGTAAATGCATAAACAGAAAAATGCAAACCTCCGTTGTTTATAGAAACATACATACGTATGCATCACACACCCGTATTTTTATTTAATGGCATCAGTAGAGTTATATAACTGCCAGTCAGTGAGGTGTGTCTGTCCGCCTGCAGCATGTCAGCTCTACCCCCACCAAGTAATAATGAATCTTCTCACTCCTGCTAAACCCATTATGTATTTGATATCCTTTCATAGCAGGCAGGGTGCCATTCATTAAACATCTGTTAGGAATCTCCCTGTCTTCCGCACAAGCCCGTTTCCGTACCCATAACGGAAGAGTCACCATAGAAACCCCTGAGGTGGCGGCAGGGTTCGTTTATGCCGAGCGTATGATGAGCATTACTGGCTGAATTTTACAAGGAGCTCTATTGAGGTCTGGCCCGGCTTTGATGCAGAATGTTTTCGCTGCTCTTTCAGTCAGCTGAGAACATGGAGGACATCTAAAAGCCATGTTTCAGAGTTTTGGATGATATATGACAGAATAGACAAAGAATTTCGGTGCTTAGGGAGAAGACTGTGAACGTCTAGACTTGTAAAGAGTCTTTTTTAAGCTAAAAATCCACAAGAGATGTCATGAGACACTAAGTTACTAGGTCTCATTCACTAACAATTGCACATGGTTTTATGTGCAAACATTTTGGCAAACAATGTAAAAGTGAATATTAATATTGCAATATTATTATAAGATTTATAAACATTAGAATTATATATATATATATATATATGATTTTATGTAATGTTTGTAATTTTATTATTTAGTTTATATATTTTTACATGTATAGCTAGTCATTGAAACCCTGTTTAAAATATAAAGTAATCATGATAAAACTGAAAGCATTCACACCAGAAATCTGCCATGATAGAATTATTATTATTACAAAATAATAAAATTTCAATAGGTACATTTCACAAGTAATTACAAAAAAATGACAAGGAACACATTTAATTAAACATGAAATTTAAGCAGAAAAGTATTTTCTTGTAAAACTTAAACCAACAATCTTATGTATTCTAATATATTATTTACATTAGAATATATATTCTAATGTATTATTTACAACTTCAAAAAATCATTTTACAGTGTATAATAATAATTTATCATCAACATTTTAATGCTTGAGATCCATATCCACATAAAATAGACAAAACGAGGGTAATTTATTTGTACTTTTTTTGTATTGTTTATAGAAGGTTATATTGTTGCTGTTGATTTGTAGTACTAGAACAACAGAAGGCACTTGAATGGCACTAAACATTTCTTGCTTTGCATCAGAAATTGTTTGACTTCACCCGCATGCTGTCAACCCTAAGTTGTTGTTGCATATGCTTTAGATTGAAGCTTTAAAACAGCTCCTTAGTTGCATCAGATCAAGAGCCCTTACAAATTGTCATAAATTCTGAGCCTGGACCCCCTTATTCAACAGCTAATGTGCAAATAAGACAGAGTCAATCTGCTGGGAGAAATATCCGAATTGATATTTTATTATCCAGGAGGGTTGTTAAATGAGACGAGAGGGATAAGGGGTAAAGGCTTTGTGTGACATCCTACATCAAGAATAAGTCGGGAGTGGACATCCTTTAGGGTGCTTTCACACCTGGCTCGTTGTTTCGGAACCTGGCACGTTTCCCCCCTTAGCTCGGTTCGTTTGGGCCTATGTGAACACGGCAATCGCGCCCAGATCCACGCCAAAACAATCGGTCCGAGATCGCCTGAACGAGGTGGTCTCGGCTCGATTGAAACGAACTCTTGAGCGGT